GGTGATAGAGAAAGACCAGAACGGGCCCGGTGGCCCTGGGATCCCAGATCTGAACTTACCCAGGTCATCTGTGGGAGGCTTGATATCGGCCAGAACTGAAAAGGCACAACACAGCGGTGTGAGGAGGGTTTCGAATTGGCAAAGGGGAAGGCGGAAGGCAAGAGGGAAGCATATAGATAACAGGACAAAGTCAAGGCTGTGGCTGGGTTTGTGTATTATGTCCGAGGGAATAAAGTTAATTGAAAATAATTAAATAGTTTTTGAATATTATTTGACCTGTTGACATTATACTAATTTTTGGAAGACTTTAATTCATGCCCTTTTAAGCTATTAATCCACTTTGCTTCCTGTTTTTAGAGGACTAGCAGGATTCTTTCCTTTTTTCCCACCGTCACTGAACAACATCCCTTTCCCTGTGATAAAAATACATGATTAATTCAAGAGCTGGAATAAATAGTTGTGAATATTAACAAGAATCACGCCATCTTTAAGGAGATGAAACATACCTGTAGGAGTGAAACCTACCTGTTTCATCTGTAGCAGGATCATTCACCAGATCTGCAAAGATACAACATAGGGAATGAAAAATGCAAGTCGGAAAAGTAGCAAAGAGGAGCCGGATGAAGGGAGGATGATCTAAAAGGAGGCAAGACTGAAGTGAAAGAATGTGGACTCTTGGGGAAAATATAAGGGAGCGATAGAAAGATTGGGCATGTTTAGAGCCCTCGGTGGCACCTAAGATAGACAACGGAGCTCTGAACCTCAGCAAGTCCCCTACATACAAACGAGTTCCATTCTGAGAGCGCGTTCGTAAGTCCAATTTGTTCGTAAGTCCAACAAAGTTAGCTTAGGTACCCAACTAACACAATCGGCTATGTGGTGCTGTACTGTAACAGGTTTATAATACTTTTCACACGAATAATACATAAAAAACAAACAAAAAATAAACATTTTTAATCTTACAGTACAGTCCCTTGTGAAGTACAGTAGTACCAGCTACATCACTGCTGCTTTTACGCTTGCTTCTGGACATCCTGGGCTTGAAATAAAGACACCGTACTACTGTACTCTATACAGTACCATACAGTAAAGTACACAAAAGCACATCCACTTGTAGAGCATGCACACACGTGACAACGTACGCCAGACACGAGAACTAACTTAGGTGATTGGACATGAGAATATTCAAATCTTTGAAAGTTCGCAACTTGAAGGTTTGTATGCAGGGGACCTACTGTTCTAGTCTTCCTTTAAGGAAGGATGTACAGACCTCAACCCTTCTATCCCCAGTTTGAAAGCAAAGAAATAAACAAAAGAGTATCCTACTAGGATCTTCTGTGAATGTCTCTGGAGTCACTGGAGTCACATCATCTGCATAAAAACAATTGGGAAACATTTTCTGAGCATTCTCTGTCCCCCACCCCTACCCTTGCACTCCCAGTAAGTGCAGTTGACAAGCACGGTAGACTCATAGTAAGATCCCAAAGTGTTTTTCTTTCTTTGCTTCCCAGCCTAAGTCCTTTCCCCTGTAACCCAAACAAATGTCACACTTTCCTACTTCCATGAATATACCTGTACAGTCCTAACACTAGAAAGTCCTCCTCCCTGTGTGCTCCTTATTTAGAGGAATGAATGAACTACATGGCCATTAGACAGTCCACCACAGGCACGCCCTTTCTCGGTTAGACTTTGGTTAAGTGCTGGACTGCAAGAATGACTTCTTCGTCCTAGCATATAATAACAGATACAGCTAATTTGGGATTACTATGTACTTGTTTTCACAGATGGTAAAACTCAGAACCAAGAGAATAAATAACGCACACAAGGTCATAGAGCTTGTTAATAATTATAATGGATTGATGACCTCTTTGCGATACTTATTTAAAATGAAAATTGTTTTTCTCAAACAGACTGTGATTTTAAAAAACTTTTTGTTTTATATTGGAGTAGAGTTGACTAACAATGTTGTGATAGTTTCAGGCGTACAGTAAAGTTATTCACTTATACATATACATGTATCTATTCTTTTTTAAACTCTTTTCCCATTTAGGTTATTTAATATTGAGCAGAGTTCCCTGTATGCAGTATACAGTCCATGTTGATTATCCATTTTAAATGTAGCAGTGTGTACATGTCAATCCCAAACTCCCTAGCTATCCCTTCCCCCCTGGTGGACCATAAGTTCGTTCTGTCTGAATCTGTTTCAAGCAGACTGTGATTTTGATATTCATAATTTGGACGTAATTGGATATCAGTCTGATGATAGGCTTTACACAAAAGAGTGTTCACAAAAGGTAACATTGGTAGTTTTCTGATGCTCAGTGATAAGTGAGGTAAAGAGAGGGGAGAAGAAATGCCTTGTTGTTGATCCTTGGAAAGTAAATGCCGGAGGGGAAGAAATAAAAATGGTCCAGGTCTTAAGGTGGAAGGTATTTGGATAAACTAAGAAAACTGTATCTGAAACTGTAAATAACAGCAATTCCTGAAACAAATAGTCTCTGCTTTAAAAAGCAACATAACAAAGCAGTGTGAAGAACTAAATGTTTGTTAAACATCCCACCTGTAATTAACCTTCATTGTAAATGGCTTATAGTCATAATCTGTTTTACCCACTAGAGGTCAGCAAAATCACAGTTTGCCTTGTCAGCTTACAAATGTCAGATTTAAAATCTGGTGAGAATAGCATTTTTATAAAGCATGTCAGAGTTACTGATCCTTGCACTAGAAGCAATACACAAAACATTTTTTTTCTTTTTTTGCGGTACGCGGGCCTCTCACTGCTGTGGCCTCTCCCGTTGCGGAGCACAGGCTCCGGACGCGCAGGCTCAGCGGCCATGGCTCACGGGCCCAGCCTTTCCGCGGCATGTGGCATCTTCCCGGACCGGGGCACGAACCCCCGTCCCCTGCATCGGCAGGCGGACTCTCAACCACTGCGCCAACAGGGAAGCCCCACAAAACATTTTGAAGGAATTTCCTCTGCTTATTACTTAACTCATCCTTTTAAAAAAAAATTCCAGATAGAAGGTCATCAGATTGACAACAGCCTCATCTTTAACACTCAGTATAAGCTTTTGTCTTCCGGAACAAATTTTGATAAAAAGAATTCAAGTCTGCTCCAGTCCCACAGGATATTTGAAAAGCCACTGACCTGAACCATTCCAGAAGCTGTAAGAAGGGAGTGGATTCTCCCCGGGTGCAGCCCTATCCTGCCCTGTTTCCCATTCTCTCCAGCTACATTCCAGTCCAACCACGCACGGAAACAGAGGGAGCAGGGGGCGAACAAAGGGTTTGAGAGTATCCTGGCTGTCTCCTCAGAATTCCAGGCAGAGTACTAGTTTTCTGTATATTCCTCAGTTTACCCACCTTTTCCATGAGCTACCACTATCTGAATGCTTTATTAAGGATTCGTGAGTGTTCCCTGAAGGAACATTTTCATCATTTCTTGTACTATTTCTGCATCACAAATCATAAAATAGGACTGGACCTTAACCAGCCCAAAAAAAGGAATTTGGATTTTTAGTTTTGCTACTGCTGACTATGACCTAGGTTCAAAAATGTAGGGATTCAGACCTCCATACCCACAACAGAGGAAAAAAAAAAAAGCTTTTCTATATTTTAGCTTCTCTACCAGGATGCACAGTAAGAAATGATATTGTGCCTCAGTATACACAAAGAAAACTGAAACAAGTTTAATAAGATAATACTTTACTCTGGTAATGTACTTGCAGTATACTCTATTTTTATTTTAGTCTGTGCTAACTCATTAAAAGCCCCAGTTGTGACCCACTCATTTGGTTTCTGACCCATTAACCGGTTGCATACTGCAGTGCTCTCAGGGGTTGGGAAAAGCAAGAGAACTTATGTTAGATACCTGGAGGCAGCCTGGGAATGTTGATTAGAGTATCCTTCATCAAGTTGAAGGAAGTGGCCCTTTGGAGGCCAGAACTTTTGGGTTCTGTCTGATTGTGCCACAGTTGCTCTGGTGCTGGGAAGACTTCTTATGTCTGCATTTTAGTTTCTCCACTATTACATGGTTAGGAAAATGTTTTCTGTTACGATCTGTGGGCATTTTCCAAGGGAGTGGCAATGAAACGGACATAGAGAAGGTCTGGGGAAAGTTATTTCAGTAGTTCAAAAGAGAACAAGAATGTTTTATGAATGGGCTCTTAGTTCCCCGACTAGGGATCAATCCCGTGCCTCCTGCAGTGGAAGCTTATAGTCCTAACCACTGGACCACCAGGCAATTACCGGGATAATAGGATTGTTGAGCTAGTGAATTAGATCCTATTATTTCCCACACCTTGGCAATGCATCTCTGTGTTGTATTACAAATTCTTGAACTCTAACCTTTCGGCTACATTGTCCTAATAAGAACCTCATCAGAGCCCAGTTCCAAGGGTTCACCTACCTCCTCTTTGGCTGTTGACCCCTAGGGGTGTCCAGTCTGTATCAAAGGAAGGAGAAAATGTATGTGAATGAGTCCAGCTCTATACCCCATAAAGCTTGTACAAGATGAACCAGAAAATGATCGGAAAATTGTACTTTATCTTTCAGTGTTTTATTTCTGTTATAGCTCAATGTAAAAGTACTCAGAGCGTTAGTGCTACACACAGACATGGGAACACTCAAAGAGAGCAGATTCCTGAGAACAAAGGTGAGCTCTGCTATGCCCTGACTCAAGAGGCCCTCTTGCCCTCAGTCTAGCCAGAAGGGGTAGCGTCCTGATCCACACACAAGGCCAGCAGACTCTCTGATGTCCTATCCTTCTGTCCCCACAGTCAACCCCTCTTAACTGCACTCCTGAACAAGGCCAAAAATTATCATCTCACAGTCTGCATTTGGCCGAATGAGAAAAAAAAAAAGAGTAGGATTTTTTGAAAGCCAAGGTTCACTTTCTGTGGTCAATCTTCTAGTTCGATTCTTTGAAATCTGTGAAGATCATTTTTCATTTGTGTATAGACGCGGCAACATATTTTCTGTGTGCATGTGAATCTGCTTGTGTGTAGGCTGGTACTAGTGTTTCTTAGGTGTATATATTCACTGTTTTCCTTCACGGTTTAAACTTGACTTTCTTGTGAGGTGATCCTTATATGTTTGTGTATGCGTTTGTATATATCAGCTTCTTTATCCTTTGGGTTTTTTTTTTTTTTTTTTTCACTGCCCAGCTTGCGGGATCTTAGTTCCCCCGACCAGGGATTGAACCCACGGCAGTGAAAAGTGACGAGTCCTAACCACTGGATCACCAGGGAACTCGCCGTGTTCTTCTCTTTAATGGCAATTCTAGAGCTCAATAGCAAGCATCTCTTCTCCTATTCCCCTTCAGCCTCCTTCCATCCAACCTCTAACATACACCTCCACCCACATCTGAGGAGCTGACATTTTAGGGAGAAAAAAAAGGTAGGGACTCACCAGAGGGAATGATGAGTACAGTGAGAAACAGCAGCACTTTGGGTCCCAAAAGCAGCATATCTGACAGGTGGGCGGGGAGAGTAGAGATTTCAATTGCAGGCAAGGATATCTGTAGGATCTCTGTCTCTGCATCTTCCCAGGAACTTTCCTAGTGCCCCATAAGTCTCAGACCCTTCCTCTCTTTCACTCAACATTTCTCCTTCAAATTCTATTCTTTGATCATTTGCCATCATTCTCTCTCCTTTTTTTCTACCAAGTCAGAGGAAATTTTATACTGTAAATGGTTCATGATGACCCCCGCCCTGTGGCCTCTTTCAACCCTAATGTCTAATCTTCTGTTTTGAAATCTGTGGCTTTTTAATATCATCTGCTCATCTTGGTGTCTCCTCATTGGGATTCCATGGATAATTGGGATGTCTGTTCAATTCTAAGTCAGTGACATTCCCCGTTGCCCTCTTCCAGCCCTTCAAAACACACACACACACACACACACGCACACGCACGCACGCGTGTGTGCGCGCGCGCACACACACACACACACACACACACACACACACACTGCCTACCCCTGTCTATTTAGGGTTTTAGACAATCAAAACAACTCACTGTTTATGGTTCTCTGCTCTTTCTACCGAGTCCTTTGGTTGTTGAATGTGTCTCTCTCCTTCTCAGTCTGTTCCACTTTGGCTGGAGAGTAAGATGAACAGGGCCACTCCCTGGAAAGGACTTCAGATTTGGCCTACTCTGAAACAATGAGACGAGGGAGAGCGAGGGAGGGAGGGAGGGAGCGAGCGAGGGAGGGAGGGAGCCGGGCTAGAGGAGTCTGAAGCTGTGCTACAGTGTGAGGCTGGGAGGAGAAGGGGGATGGGGCTTTGCAGTCACTCACACCCTCATTCCGAAGGTTCTGACCACGTGGATGCTGCTCCTCCCTTGAAGGGCTGGCTGGAGCTCATATATGCCTTCCTTCCGTGAGCCACGCGCTCTGGCCCCAGCCTCCCTTTCTCCTTGGGTTCCTTCTTACCTAAAGAGCAGCTCCCCAGCCCCCTCCCCCGTCACGCGCCCAGAATCTGTTTCTATTTTTCTGGCCATCTTCCATATTGGAATCATTCCTCTAGCCCCCTTTCTCACTTTTGTCCTTTTAGAATTCCACACCAAAAAATTTCTTTGTATCCTTTTATTATTGATTTTTAATTTTTTGGCTGCATTGGGTCTTAACTGTTGTGCACGGGCTTTCTCTAGTTGCGGCGAGCGGGGGCTACTCTTCGTTGCAGTGCGCGGGCTTCTCACTGTGGTGGCTTCTCTTGTTGCGGAGCACAGGCTCTGGACACGCGGGCTCAGTGGCCATGGCTCACGGGCCCAGCAGCTCCGCGGCGTATGGGATCCTCCCAGACCGGGGCACGAACCCGTGTCCCCTGCATCGGCAGGCGGACTCTCAACCACTGCGCCACCAGGGAAGCCCCTCTTTGTATCCTTATGTTTCTCTTTTTTCTTTGCCTCTTTCTTGACCTACACGTTTGACTCTCCCACCACCCCGCACCCCCGTCACATGCCTTTGAGAATCTCATATATTGCTACATCCAAGCAAACAGACAGTACATGAGTTTTGTCCAAGAGGAGGGATGCTGTCTTAGGAAAAGTTAAGGAACATAGAACCCCCATCTTTTTGAAATGTGGAGGAGCTCCATGAGAGGAGATTCCAGCCTTATGTTGTCTTTTGTCTTTGTTGAAGCTTATATTAAGAATCTTGGTTTCTGGAATCTTAAGGACAAAAATGCTATCAGAAGCCCAAAGAAAATTGGGAGCCAAGTTCATTCTGCTTGCTTTATTTTCCATCAGTACTTTTCCTTCATGTCACGTAATATGTACATAATGTTTTCTCTGATCCAGGAGCTATAAAAACTTTGTCTTCACTCTTATTCCTAGAAACTCTAGTGCTTAGACCATTACAACATCTCCACTTCGGAGGAATAAACTTGAATTACAGAAACCTCAAATCTGAAGAATGGTTGCCCTTGTGGAAGGGAAGAAGGAAGGAAGAGAGGGAGGGAGGGAAGCTGTCACGAGCAGGGAAGAGCTATGGACATAGTCAGAAATAAGCAAATAGCACTTCTGGTTTCTCTTAGGAAGCTATACGTGCTCCATCTCTGAGATACATGGGTTCTGGTCAGTCCCCAGAACAAATCTGTGTACAGAACCCAGCTCTTCCTGGTCGGACCTGTCCAGAACTTGATCTTTTCCCATGTGTTCCACAATGGGAACGCAGAGGCTACAGAACAGATGTCTGGGGAGAGCCAGGGCAAGAAAAGGCAGGGAGGCAGGGGTGGGTGAAGAGACAAAAGCAGACGCAAAGCAGTAAGAACTAAGGCAGGACATACAACAGAGAGCCTAGGGCCACACTCATGTTTTCCATGAAGCACAGACAGATGGAGAAACTGAACTCAGGCCAGTCATTTGGCAGGGACAGCAATGACCTCAATGTGCTCCCAGCCAGAGACTGTAGCTTAGGAAAGCCTCCCCAGGCAGTAGGAGGGGGTGCTTTCCTAGGGTCTCGAGGGGGAGTCTGAAGTTAGGGCAGTAAAAACAGGAACAAAATGTTCAGAGCAAGGCAGAGGGAGCAGGCAGGCAGCGAGCAGGACCTAGGAAGGAAGGAAGGGAGACGAAGCAAGGAAGCACGGCAGGAAATGGCAGAAGAGCAGAAACCACCATGTAGTCTAGAATGCCGTTTACTTGAAAGTACTTGGGGTGATTTCTTGTTCATGGCAGCTCTGGTGGCCCCTTCTAGCACAAGTCCCCGTTTGTTTTCAGAGTCTCCGCTTGGACCCCCGGTTTCAGAGATCCCTCTGATTTACTTTTCTCATTGGTGGTTATCATTTAATTACATCAAGTCACAGTCAGCACCCACGGTCAGGAATGAGCAACTGCCATCCAGAGATGTGAGCCTAGACTCTTCCGAGGCTCTCGCTGACCCTGGGGAAAAACTCCCTGGGCAGCAGCCCACATACTCATCCAACACAGGGTGGATCTCCTGCGGGTCGAGGATGCAGGAAAGTCCTCCATGGAATTGACTGGCAGGTGAAGAAGTGACTTAATGTAGGCAAAAATCTAATGTCTGAGACATCCAGGAAAATGTTAGTTTTCCAAAGAGGTCTCCAATCGGGGGACGATGGGTAGAATGCAGAGAAAGAGAAGGGAGACAGGGATGAGAGACAGCATGCTGGTTTATTCATCTGTTTACTGGCCTGTGAAGAATACACCCATTAGCTGAAGGCCTCTGGGCAAACGTACAGAAACGTTATTACTACAGTCCGATCCAAGTAAATTAAATCCAGGGCCTAAACACACACAAAAATCCCATAAAAGGAAGGAAAGGAAGGAAGGAAGGAGGGTTATACGAGGTGGGTGTGTGTGTGGGGGAGTGCTGTGTGTAGAGGGAATGAAGCAATAAAGTGGTCACAGCCAAACTTAAGAGATGGACCCAGTGGAGGAGTTAAGAGCCAGCAAACATATGTCCTCAGAGAACTTGGGCAAGGGAAAACTTCCCGCTTCTTAGTAACCCATACCTCTCTGTTCTTCACGCCTCCACGCCTTGCACTTTCTGTTCCTTCCTTTCTCAAGTATATATCCTCTTCCCAGCTCCAGGAAATAAATGCTGATGGGTACATCAAAACACAGGCCCCACGCTGCTCTTCCCGGAAACCTTTCCTGGTCCCCTTTGCTTCTGAATAGTTAATCATTCCCTCTATTGAGCTACCTCTCTTTTTTAATCATTGTGGCATCAGCTTTATTATATTCTTTATAAATTTATTTTATTTTTTTGGCCACACCGCGCAGCTTGCGGGATCCCAGCTCCCCAACCAGCGATCGAACCCCTGCCCCCCGCAGTGAAAGTGCAGAGTCCCAACCACTGGACTGCCAGGGAAGTTCCCCTCAGCTTTATTGTATTCTTTTTTTTTTTTTTTTTATTTTTTTTTTTTTTTTTTTTTTTTTAATTTATTTATTTATTTTTCTGCGTTGGGTCTTAGCTGCAGCACACGGAATCCTTCATTGCGGTGCACGGGCTTCTCTCTAGTTGTGGCGCCCGGGCTTAGTTGCCCAGCGGCATGTGGGATCTTGGTTCCCCGACCAGGTATTGAACCTGCGTCCCCTGCATTGGAAGGCGGATTCTTAACCACTGGACCACGAGGGAAGTCCCTATATTCTTTGTTTTACAAGTCTGTGTTCTTGATTAGACTGAGAGGTTCTTACTCGTCTCTGGCTGACATAATGATCAGCACATAACAACTCAAAATTTGGTCATTTGAATTGAGGTGAGACAAAGACTCGAAATATTTCGAGAGAGAAACATTCAAAAACTGAGTCAAATGCAAAGTAAAGGAGAAAGTTCTAGAGAAGAAAGTAGTTTGAGAGGATATAGGAGCACAGCCAGTGGAACAACTAACCAGTGTTTTGATCCAATACGAGAGGAGTAGACCTAAAGGAAACAGGCACAGAGATTGGGCAACAGTTATTCCAGAAATAAAGGAATTTTGGCAGAAGTGCTGTAAAATCAGTGCATACGAAACATAAGTGTCTTCTATCAACAATAATGAGTGCTTTTGTCTCATCATTTTGCTTTGTGTAAATTTTCAGATGGTGCTGGTGGTCTTTTACTGTTATACCCACACTCTATGTAGTATCTACACTTACATTTGACTCCCTTGGTCTTGGTTGAGAGAGGAAACGTTCCCAGAAGCAAAGGAAGAAGCTGCAGATCTCTCAGGGCTCAGCATCACTTTGCCAGCATCACTCCCATGTTCTGTTGGTCTATAGGGTCTCAGTTCCAAGTTAAGGGGAGGAGAAATAGACTTTACCTCTTGATGGGAGGAGTGGCAAAAAAGTGTGTAGCCACATGTGCCACAAAGTTAAAATGAATCTTTTTAACAGATTAGACAAGGCCAAACAAAGAACATTTGTATTTTGCCGTTTCCCTGAAACCTGATTTACCTCGCTTCACAATTCTAAGGACCTCTTGGATGCTCAATATGATAGAAAAAGTTCAGTGTTATTTTCTTGTTTTCTGCAGCATCAGGCACTGTTGGCCTGTCTCTCCTTTTTGAAATGTGTCTTTCTCTTGGCACCTATGACATCACTTCCTTTGTTTCCCTCTTTACCTTGGCTCAGCATTCTTTTTTAATTTCTTTTTCTTCTGTGTTTACCCTTAAATGCTGGTATTTCTCAAGGTTCTTGCCCCAGCCATCTCTTTTTACTACACCCCACTCCTGTGTCTCTATTTACCATCTACTGGCTTCTGCTTCTAGATCTATACTTCAGTCTCTTCTACATCTGAATGTGAAATAGTACATCTCTAGTTGGATGTCCCATTAGCACCTTGAGTCCGTCAGGCTTCATATTAGAGCAGGATCATTTAAGCAGAAATGGGGGAAGCTAAAGAACAGACTCCCAGGAATAGCTACCAAGATTCTAGTGCCCCTCCCACCTTCTGGAGGCCACCTTCCGTGCTGAGATGTCACCACTCAAGCTCTGGAACCACGCTGGCTCTGCTAAAATCCACACCAGCAGAACGGATCCTCACTCCCTGCCTCTGTCTTCACTTAACCTTGGTTTTGAGTTCAGGACTTAGATTAGTGCATATGGTTGCTGAAACCTAGCTATAGGATTCAAACTCTAGCTATAGGAGAGTCTAGGGTAT